TCGGGAGCCGGCTGGTGCTGTGAGCTGGCCATATACAATGCTGTGCACGTTGGTATTGTGAATACGTTAAATCCTCCTTCAAGCACGAAGAAGGAATTTAGGTCACGAACTACCGGTTGTTTACGGTTCGTACCAAATTAATGTTTCTGAAATTCTTGATGCAATTCTATGTCATTAGATCGTTATTTTATGCATATCATATATTATTTTATGAGATATATGTTGAGCAAAAACGACTACCCCCCAATCGTGCGCGACGCATATTTTTCACAAAATTAAATTGTTGCTACAAGGCGAATTCACCTAATTTTCGAATATAAAAAATTCTTAAGGATCAAGACAAAAAAGAAAAATCGAAAATATACATAATCAAGCAACAACAAAAAATAAAGAAATAGAAATATAAAAATCAAAAACAATATTAATCCAAAAATATCGGAAAACGTTCGTCGAAATTCCCAAATATCACCTAGAATAAATTAAATCAAATATGTAGGTTTATTTATTCAATTAAATATTTAAATTATATATTTTCAATTATTCCAAAGCATATAAATATATAAAAATAAATATTCCTTATTATATATATATTTCTTCCAAACATTTTTGCTTTTTCTACATATATAAATTCGATTTCCAATATATTAATTAAATATATAAATAAATATTTACCAAATAATTTAAATAATCATCTTTTTATTATAATCTTTAATATTATTTATATATATATTAATTTAAATATATATTCAATTTAAATCCAAACCTCTATAAAATCAAATAATTAATATATATATATAATATCAATATCCCCAAAATCATTCCATCATAACATCGAATATAATACCAGAAATAATAAATATAATTCCCACATCCATCGAGAAACTAAAAACAAAACTACAAATAACACGAATCAAAATCCTTCATCTTTACTTACGAGGTCGAAAACCCAAACGAAATCGAAAATCCACACATAAAACAAATCTAAATAAATCACATTGTTAAACGTCCAATTCCATTTCGTTCCATAAAATTCAAATTATTATATATATATAACCAACATAAACCAACGATAATGATATATATTCCTTATAAATTATTATATCGATTTTCTAAGATATAGATTCAAAAATACTTACAATATAAAACATATTGCGCAATAATTAAATATATTGAAATTATAGTATATATTCTATTGGACGGTTCTCATTTGATTTGTTGACTTATTAATCTATTTTTTGTCAATATCGGATATACTTTGTAATGTTGATTGATCATTCAATGTTTCTGGAATCGGGATAGTAGTTGGCAACGGCCGATTCTTTTCTTTTGAGTCCTCAAGGTGAGCATTATTGATTAAAGATAAGGTAAGATATGTTGCTACAAGCTCATGCATTGTTTGATATCGCCATGACACATTGACTTTAGCTACATTGACGATGTTGACCCCCGTGCCTCAGGTGTTGTCAGCGCATTTAGGTTGTACTTCTTCCTTCAGCTCACAAATGGCCGTGTTGTGCTGTCATGCAAAATCCACATACACAAAGGCATACCTCACACATGCACACACGCACACATTCTCATGAGGGTGTCGAAATCATTATGCACAACCATAATTAAAGGTTGCATAATTAATGCTATTCAAATCTATTCAATCACTACAGAAGGCATGCCAGCTGCACAGCATTGCCCAGTGAGGCACAACGCTTAAGCCACACCATTGTGCCGTCACCTGGCCCCAGAATCTGCACGGCTTCACTCGTTCACTGCGCAACAATTGGTCTCAACAGGGTCTCTTCAATATGACAGGTGCTGGCAAAGAAGGCCCTCTGAAGCAAGAATTTGCTCCTGACTACTCACCTGGGCGATTTTATTTATGTAAATGTAACAATATTATATACTGTATATAATATGTACACATGCTTCGTGCTCCACCCTGCCAGTACCTGCACAATGACACACTTGGCAGGGTCGTTCAAGCTGACCTGGCCAACAGCTTGACCCTGGAGGTTCTGCGATATGCTTAAGGCGAGGTCAAGTACTGCTTGCACACTCTACGGCGGGGCCATTGTCAACTTCAATGATTGTGAAAAAAACGCATCACAGCGATACTATCTTCATTGAGCAAGAACATCACCATGAATGGACCAATGGACCATTTGGCCTTGTGGCGCTCCTTTGGCGCAATTGAGTCAAGCACTTCAAGAACTGCCTCACAAGTCAAGCAGCCAGCTCACACGAACGCATCCTTTGAGATTGCAACAGTTTACTTCAAAAAAACACGGGTGATTCTGAGAAACTCAACAGCAAAGATTGATCAAATGCGGTACGGCTTCAAAAGCGAGGCTAATCTCCCCTCCCTAATCGTCCGGAATTGTTTCCTACACGAGGGGGAACCGTAAGTCAACGCACGTCGCGCCAAGTCGACACAACTGCAGTTCAACTGCATGGTACAACGTGCATTGGGTGTAAAGCGGTCTAAGCGCTTTTATTTCTAATCTACATTACCTAGGCCCTGCCCCGCGAGGCCAGCACGACCCTGCGTGAGGGCCGCGGGACGTAGCAAAACACAGGTCCACAGTCCGATATGTTCTTTAAACGTATTTTGGCAATGTTTGACTCATGGCGACAAAGCAAAGCATGAAAAGCAAGAAGTGAGCCAATGACACTCCGATGAAGTGAGTTGAAGCCTGAGAAGGAAGGAGACGAAAACCAGCCTCCGTAAGAAGATATCAATATGGTCATGGGGGATGAACGCGAGATCCCTGGTGAGCTCCCCACCTCTTTTCCTTATCCTCCACATGAACTCCCACCCCATATGGGGTGCCCTTTTGCGTCTGGTCAACAGGCCTCGTCACCATAAACAAGGGCACCCCCAAGCAACTCAAAGCTTGCTCGATGCATTCCGTTCCCTCTCCTGTCCTCAACGGGTCACATCGTTTCTTGCAGTCCCTCTTTTCCTATCACATCACGTCCTCCTCCGCTATGCCTGTCTTCCACATGAACTCCCACCCCATATAGGGTGTCCTTGAGTGTCTGGCTACTAGGCCTCTTCAGCGTTAAAAAAGGGCACCCCTGGGAGCAACTCAAAGTTTGCCGACTGCATTCTGTTCTCCCCGCACTCCTGTCCTCGACATGAGCTCCGACCCCTGGTAGGCTGGCTTTCGTAATGATAAGTACAAAAAGGCATTGTGCACACCGACATAATTGGATCCTTCCAAGAACATCTGAGAATACTATACATCCACAAACCGCATGGGCACGCCCATCCGAATCAACTTAGAACAACGCGAGTCGACTTACAGCCGAACCTAGTATGCAAATTGAGCCTCTGTCACCATCTTTCACGCCCCTCATCCTGGCCCCATGGCCTCCTTTTTGATTGCATTGTTCCGGGCTTTGAACCTCAGTGTCAGCAGTCAGGACAGCTTGCCACAACAGCCGTCACATGTTCTCAGCTTGAGGAGCTTGCTCCAAAGCCCAGGTGGTGGCTTCAGCATCTACTCCAAGGTGTGCAGGCAGCACCTCCTTTCTCTACCACCGGCCCAGAAGTACAACCAGTTGAATTAGCGAATGAACACGCCACTGATTTCAGGTTTTGCGTTGCTTTAGTTTGCCTTGCCGAATCCTTTCGATCAATGGGCATCGGAAGCCTGAGCCAGCTTTCTGAAATCCTCCATCTGTGGCTTGCCTCAATCGGGCAAGAGCCTGGCACCCCCAAATCCATGGAGCTTTCTCAGCCAAGTGCCGTTGATGAGCATTAGATCATTTGCAGTCGTGGCACAGGTATGATCGATGGGAAGGACTCTACATAGCTGCCTCACGTGGTTAGCTTCCCGTGTCACGAGTGTTGACACTAAACTCTTGACGCTGGTCAAACTGCCTGGAGCATGTTGCGATTCCTGAAGGACAGCAAGTTGCAGCGGGTCAGAAAGACCAGACTTCTGACATCTTCTGACTTCACTTTAAAGAAACACTTATGTGCCCAGAAAGAGTTCGTATTAAGAATTTACACCGAGCTTTTGCAGGGACTCGTTGGAACATGTTCTAAACTTCTAAACAGTAGAGCATCATTAATGCAAACCGGGAAACAGGTGATTTGTCTCAGAAAAGCAGCTGTTTTCCTGACACTATTTCCTGGTCTTTGTTTGTGCAACTGCCTTGCAAACAGCAGCAAAGGTTGTCCAGTTTAGATCTTACACAAATTTGGTTTTCTTCACATGAGCTGTGCACTCATCACACAAACCTTGTTGGTACAAGTATGGCGAAGTGGAGTTAAACAAAGAATCATAGGCTGTACCTGCATCATCAACGGTTGTTGCGAGCGCTTGCTGCTCCATTTCAGCTTTGCTCAATTTCAGCAAGGATATGGAATTTGATCCAGCATTCCTCACACATGCTGTCTGTTTCTGCGGATCTTAACCACGTGCGGTGGCTTCATTCCTGTTGTGCAGGTCCTTTGCACGAGATTGCCTGTTGTGTGGATTATGACATAAAGTAGTTTACAGCTCTAGCTACCATGTGTAATTGTTCTGCTTGTTTGTGTTGTTCCCCAATAGCGCTATGGCGGTATGCACCCTGTGCGCCACCAGTGAGAGATCTCTAAGCGCGGTGTACTAGGACCCTACCCAACAGGCTGACCAACATCAAGCTCGCACAATGACACAAGAAGTCTGCGCAACTTAGATAGTACTCTTCTTGCCCTTTAAAAGGGACATTCTTCCACATGATTGGGAGATCATGCTTGAAGGTTTGAACTTTTAACACGACAACATCTAACAACTCCTCCGCTCTCCGCCGACCTGTGCTCTGAAAGCTTGCCCTCTGCGTTTCCAGAACTTGACTCACCACCTGCACAAGCCCGCAAGAGAAAGTATACACAGTCACTGCACCATCCATGTCTGCATAGATCGTCGAAGCACGTCAAGTCATCTTGCTGCAATTCACTTTGCCTCCAGTCTTTAACGCACCTTTGCCCATCATTCAACAGCGCCACATTTTTTTCTCATGCAAATGGGGCCGTACAGAACGGTTTGTTTTGAGCTGGCTCTTTTGGCCGAATTCATATCAGTAGAATTCCTCAGCTTGCTGACTCCAATGATTTAAGGAAGACATGGCAATGGGGTTTAATTGAAATGCTAAAGGACGCACAGCGATTCTTTCCAAACCCTCAATCCAGTCACACATTGGTAGGAAAGTTATTCACATTACACCTGGTCAAAGACATGTCACGTTGTAAACTGGCTTCTTCTGCACTCCATCATCCTCTCTGAATTCTCGGAGGAACTGACGAGTCACCTGCTGTCTCTGCTCGTACTTGAGCAACATTAGGAACAGTAGTCTAGGCGGCTGGGTATATAGCCTTCGTATCCCTTCGTTTCCAATAGAAATAAACACAAGCCAGGTTTGGACATTCAGATGAAACATGACAAACACATCAAACAGGGTATAACAGTATAACAAGTAGGCCTCAACAGCGCTATGCCACCGCTGATCCTCTTGATGATCTGCCACAAGTTTTCGTAGTGCCAGAAACATCTCAGACTCACGAACCTCCGAAGCAATTTGGCGGGACACCAACACAGGTAGCGTGCTTGTTCCTAGTATATAGTACGGCCAGGAGCCCCTAGTAGCGTCCTTTGCTCCTAGTAGTACGGCTCTTGTTACTAGTAGCGATGCCAGGAGCCCCTAGTAGCGTCCAAAGCTCCTAGTAGTACGGCCAGGAGCCCCTAGTCGCTTCTTGTTCCTAG